TAAAAATAGTTTCTAAATATTAGAAAAAAATCTCGAAACATTAGAACGGCTTGCCCCAAATCGGCAATTCCAAAAATGTGGCAATTTTGTAGAATTATATATTAGAGTTTAATTTGAATCGCACAGTGTACGACGCATGCAACACGAAAGTAAACCAGGCCAAGCGTCAAGCGCCAAACTCTATGCAACAAATGGGGGCACATATGTACTCTCTATTTACTCAGATATGCATGTTTATGTTGACTCTTTCAACATGTTGCAAAGTTTGCTTGCATTGCCTGCTTTTTGGGGCGCATCTCAAAACTTGTCGCTCACTAAAACTCTTTACAAATTGGGGAACAAATTTACGAGGAACTTCTGCTTCCTCCCCACTTAAAAACATTAAAAGGAGTCCTCAACTCCTGGGACACATTTCAATTTCAACATCAAATGACAGCAGCCAGGGGCTTGATGTATGAGGCAGCCCAGACTTGGGGACAGAGACACGTGTCTTCCACCTATGTGAAATGTGACTGTGTGCCCAATGGGCAACATAATAATTCAGCAAACTGTGGCAACATAAAACTAGGAAAGCTGTTCAAAGCGGCACAAAAAAAAGTGTCTGTGGCAATGGTCAAAAAATAATCAACTTGTGGTGGGGAATTCAACTCTACCCAAATCGAGAAAATAGAATACATCAAGTTTGAAGACTTTTCGATTAACTCCAAAGAGGTTTTCACACGCTCCGTCCGAATACGGACTCTACACTCAGAAAAATATGGTTTATTTGTTATTTGTTGTTGTTAATCGTATCAATTATTAATAGAATGTAGAAGTAGAAATGTAAAGATTTATTCCTTGAAATTAAGAAAAGAAAAAGCGCTGATTTCTATTAATATACTTTCTGAATAACAATTTCTAAAATTCAGGGCTGTATTTTGTAATTTCTCTGAGTGTGATCATTTTGCAGGTATTGGCCCCAAAAGGACAGCAAATATTGATAGAGCTCAATGTTGGCGTCATTTTGGGGGGATTAGAGGCGCAGGAGCCGAAAGCGGTTTATGGAGCACCTCAGAAGCACTCTACGGCTTTAAAATGCACCTAAGTGAGCTGAGGGGTGTGTGTGTGTGTGTGTGCTGGTGTGTTGGTGTGTTGGTGTATGTGTACTTTGAAATGCTATTTGATGTGCTTCCAAGCCAGCGAGTGTAAGCCGCTTATGGCCAGCAAATTAGACGTTTTCAAAGGCCATCCACAAAAATGGGGGTCGAGGTAAATGCGTATGAAGAGCTCTTTGTGCAGAGCGAGTTTCAGATTAGAGTGCTATATTAGCCCAATTTGAAGATGTCAAATTTACAAATACTTTCAAAGGCGGCCTAATTCGGATGGGCAGTTAATAACCACCAGCAAAAACACTGGCACTCATAAGAAAAATCGCCCTAAGTTTTAGTAAATTTACTACACACACTTTTTAAAATTTTGTAAGTGGAGAAATCGCCTAAAATAGCTTTAAAATTTGTTATAAATTCATATAACAATATATAATTTATTACAGCAGCTAAACTCTACTTGTTTCTGAATTTTAAAAAGGACTTGTTTATAGTTCTACTTTTTTAATTTGAAAACATTTTTCTTTTCTTTTAGAAATTTATTTTCTAATATTTAGAAATTATTCATAAAAAATAGAAAAACTATATTTTGTTTGTGCGATTTTCATTTTAGGTTATTTCATTTTCTGAGTGTAGTTTCTTAACAATAAATGAACTTTAGTGTGAAACTTTGTGTTGTGAATACGGCCAAGTTTTGAGCATTCAAATGGGAACTTGTGGCAGTTGCATAAGCAGCAAAGCCATATGAGACCCGCTGGCCATAAAGTTAAGAATACAATTTCACACACACACAAAGTGACAGCAATACAAAAACCAATACCAATACATATTTCAAATTAAATTTGAGAACTTTTCAAAACTGCATACGCAAACAAAATGAAAATCTGTGCGAAATTCGAAAGCAATTTGAAGAAAAACACACATTTTGCAAGAGCAAAGCGTCTTGGTGTGCATTATACATAATTTCGATGCTACTTGTCTACGTACACTCAGAAAATGAATCGCCCTGAAATTGAATTTTGCCATTCAAATAAGAAAAGCTAATATAAAAATTCTTCTAGGGGTATATATATAGAAAACAACAAAAATCAACACTGAAATTAAGAAACACAAACCCTGGTGAACTTCTAAAATGTAGGTTGATTTTTTTGTAAGTGTATATATCTACTCTGTGTGCCTCAGTCTCTCCCTTCCCTGCTGCCAGCAGATATCATGGGGCTGGGTTTTTTCGGGAACCCTTTTCAATTTGGCGCTACTTTGGATTTAGACTGGGATTTAAATATTCAATTTCTTAGATTCCACGTCGTTTGCAGCCGCCCAGATGCCATAAGCTGGCAGTCAAGTACCCCCGCAACCCCTTTCCCTCCTCTAACAAACGAGAATTTGTTAGCATAGAATTAGAATTTTTGTGCGAAAACTTTGCACTCTACATTTTTGGTTTTTGTTTGGTGAACTTTCTTGTATTTTTTTTGGCGAAGCCTTTAATTGCAAATGATAACAGGCCTGGCTTAAAGTATTCCCTTATTTTTCCTTTTTTCATTTTCTACTCTGCTGACCCAATTTGCAGATTTTTCATTATTTTTTTATAGGGAAAGTGTCGCTGGCTTTTCATTATTTGCTTTTCTGCTTGGCTTCATCTTCCTGTTTAGATAAAATACCAAATACCGGAAGACTTTTAATTAGAATTTTTTCTTTTGGCCCGACCTCAACTCAATTATTGGCTCGTCTCTAAAACAATGCGAGGGGAGCAGCTCCTCTGAAGAACTTTGGTCCTAAAAAGGAGTTCAAGTGAAAAATAAAACAATGCTCGAAATTGGCGTTTTCGTTGTGTTCTCCCCACAGACCAAGCACAATAAATATATATATATATATATATATATATATATATATACATATTGAACACACAATTATTTAAGCACTTCGAGCAGCTTAAATCATTTTAATCATCTTTTCCATTACTTGGCAGGGAGTTTTGTTGGCCTTGTTGGCCTTAAGTCCCACTACTATTTTGTCCCTTCGGCAACTCCATTGTTTATTTTGGCTTCCCCGCTGTTTTTGTGCTTGTTTGTTTGTTTTTGTTTCGTTTGTAATTTAATACATAGCGTTTCTTAATTAATTCCCTAAAATCATAAATCGTAATTTGATACCAAAACGGCGATAATGTAAACGTGACGATGGGGAGCCCAAGCTGAAGTTGTTTTGCAATATTTATATTTTTGTATATTGTTGCATTAAAAGTTTTTATTTTTGGGCAATGTATTGTTTACAGAAATTCCATAAGTAATTCACACGCAACTTAAAGTTCAGGTAAAGAAAAATTATTAGCTTTAAAGTTCAACTTAAATACAACTGAATTTATTTAGTAATATAATATGCTTTACCTTTGGGCAAATATTATTCCATTATTAATTCACAAGTAGCTTACAGCTCTAGTCAAAAAGAAAACTACCAGCTTAAAGCTCTACTGACATAATTTAAAACACACCTCAAAGCTTTACTTATATATTTTACAAATCATATTAAAAATGCTGCTCATTACTGTTCTTTTCTTCAATAAAATAATGTACTCAGTGCTGCGGATTTATTTCATTTTAAAACTTTTGACAATTTCGCTCAAATCGAATCGAAATGAAGCGAATTAAAATAACAACGAAACACATTTGCATTGATGAAATGACAATTGTTATTTGAAAGACACAAAGCAGATTGTCAAACAAAAAAAAAAAAATCAAACAAAAACAATAAAATGCAAATAAGTTGCGATAAAAAAAATAGAAGGCCAAAATAATAATAGGGCATGGCCGAAATGGCCATGGGCCAATGGCCAAAACAATTTGGGACAACAGCGACAAGCGAAAGTGAGTAAATGAAAAGGAGGAAAAAACTGACTTGTTGTCCACAATAATTTTCATAAATTTTTTGCAATTTTCGGCTAGCGAAATTTCCCCATTTTTCTTCAACACAAAAGCAAAAGCAAAAGCAAAGCACAATGAAAAATGCAGTAGTAGTAGTCTAAGATCGATGATGTAATGGGCCAGCGCAAATATTTCATTTGAATAACTTCGTAATCACGGACAGCCGGACGGACGGACAGACAACCTGGATTCGGGTAGACAACAACCTGGAACCCAAAAAACTACTAATAAAAAGAAAAATCAGAAAAAAGACGGAAAACCATCGAAATCAAATTGCCTTTTTGCTCAATGGGTGATTTTTGTTAGTCGAGCTACGGATTTTTTTTATGGCTAACTGTGTTATGGCAAGTTGGGCGTTAAAGGCCACGCCCCCTTTCCAACCAAATGGCAGACAACGACAAGGTATTTTTTGCCTTGGGCGTTAAATGTTTGTGCCGCAGTGGGTTTTTGGCCGGGCTTTAAATTGTTATTTGCAATTTTGATTTCGCTTCAAATGGGCACAACAAACAACAAATATACAGTTGCGCTTAAAATAATATGTTTCGGAAAATTTTAAAAAAACTTATAACATAGTTACAAAATTCCCTCTAGGAATTCTTTATAACATATATATTCGATATAGAAATCGGTAATTTAGTTTAAAAATTGTACAATTAAACGTGCATTTGAAAAATTGATTTATTTTTTCGCTCATTTCTCGTGTTGTCATTAAATGAAATTTTTCAATTTTAGTATTAATTTCATGTAAATTTAAGTAAGTTGAAAATGATGAATAATATTAGGTTTTTTGTTTTTCAATTTTCTTTTCAGAGTCTTCTTCCACTACGAAAATTGTAATCGAAAAAGAAACATTTTAATTCATTTCTTGTGAAAGTGGTGCTATTATTTTGTTCGCAACTGTAGGTATGCATATATATATATATATATATATATATATATATATATATATATATTGAGTTAGTTAAGACAAGAGTTGATGTAAGATTTAGGATTTACTTACAGCATTGGGCATTTGGCAGAGTCGGGACGTCGAGCAAGGTGGCAATGCGGTGTGGCAAGCACTCACCTGTAATAGAGGCAAACAAGATAAGGAAATTAGTTAACAACAGAAAAATTTGCATAAAACTTTAAACGATTTCCCTGTGTGTGCAACAAAATTTGATTGTTTTGAGGCAATCAAATCGATTTTCACTAGCAATTACACTTGAATTCGATTTGCCATAGACTCATGGGTTTTTCTTGTCGCGATGTCATAAACTGGCACAAACTATAGATACAGAGATACCGCACATAAGAGAAAACCAACCCCAAGGAAGTCAACTCCTCTGCGTATAAAATAAAGATAGCCTCGTGTGCCCATTTCCAAGTTTACCATGTCGGGGTCGAATAGTTTTTTCCGACTTTCCGTGCGCAAACCAATTGGAATTATGCCTATAAATATGCATGGCACTCCGATTCGCATAGTTTATTCTTTGGCTTTTCGCACCCTATAAAATAGGATACGACAAAGTCGACCGAGGCAAATATTTTTTTAAAATTGACAACTTAAAAATCAGCATTGCAAATGTTGATGAAGATCAATAACAGCTGCAACTAACATTAACTTAACGTAAATAGGCAAAATTCACTCTGTTAAATTGTTTAAGTAAAAGAAAAACGAAACACATTCGTCAAATTAATCTTTTATACTTAAATTGAGTGCATGATTTTATAGGGACATTTCTAGTCGTGCTCGCTGCGGCATAGATTTTTTTTTAGTTTTGAAATGCAGATGTTTTGGTTAGTTATTTTGACATTTCATGTCGCTGCCCATTTACAGACTGTTAAATGGCAGGCATTGACATGATTTCTCAGCTGACTTGTTTTGCATTTCGTCTAATTGCCATGTTAATTGGACGCAATTACAGACACCCTGTAAAGTCAGAGGATTGCATGCAGCTGTTAATTTGGGTTTTTTTTTCCTTTTTTTCTTACTGTGACTTACATTTCGTGGAAAAACCTTTAATTGACTGTTTTAATAATGTTACTGTATGACTACAAGCATGCACAAAAAGCGAGACAGAGAGAGAGAGAGAGAGAGAGTGAGTAAAAGCAAGAGAGAGATATGTCATGAGTCGACAATAAATTTTGGTTAATTAGCAAAAACGTTCGTCGCTTGGGACAAATTAAAAACCTACAGAAGCAAAAAAAACCCGACAACAACAAATTTCGCGGGGAGTTGGGCGCATGCAGCAGTAGCAGCAGCAGCCAGCAATTTGTCATGAACGTGCTATTAATCAAAAGTTGAACGCCTTGACAAAGCAAAAAGGCTTCGACTTTTGGTTCAAGTGTTTTTTTTTCACTTAATTCGTTTTATTGTTATTAAAGATGCACTGCGACAAACAGTTGCATACTTGGCGAGTGCTGAGATAATTGACCTCTAAATACACTTGGCCCACTCGCCCAGTTGGCAGCAGCCAGAACCACACACACACACGTACACACACACAGCCACATGCACGCCAGTTGAAAAGTCAAATTCATTCAGCGGGCATTCTGCGCCGCAAAGTAGGCTAAAAATATGGCACACACACAAAAGCAACAAAAACAAGAGCCACAAAAACAAGCGTGATGATGATGACGACAATGATGATGATGATGGACCAATAACCTTTTGCTTGGCGCAACTTGGGCTCTCTCCCTCTCTATCCCACTCTTACGCTCTCTCTTGAATGCCATTGACACTGGGCTGCCCCTGTAAGAGATACTTATTGGCTGTAGCAGGCAGCCAGGCAGTCAGCAGCTGCCTGCTGCGTATAAGAAGTCATTGCTCGAGAGGCTCACGCACTTATTGTTGCCCATGCCCGGGCATAGGCCCCATCCCCTCCTCCGACCCCCCTCGCATAGCACACGTTTTGTATTCGAAGGGTTTTTTCTGCACCCATTGCAAATGTGTAAAAAGGGTGTAATGGTTTTGTGGAAATGTGTGTAACAGGTAAAATGAAGCAACTACTCATAAGGCATATAATTTCTACATATATTCTTGATCAGCAGTAACAGTAGAGTCGATGTAGCCATATTTGTTGGATCTCACAGACTATAAGAGCTAAAGACACATCAAATCAAATCGATACTTTTCGGTTACCGATTGCAATGAAGGCTACAATTTTCAAAGCCGAAGATTCTAATTAATTTAGAATATACATTTGCATATTATTGATCAACTGCCCAAATTTAAAAAGGATTGGATAAAATAAAACCCAAGTTATATATATATATTTATATTTTTTTCATTTCATCAATAAATAAGTAAAAAATATAAAAATATAAATGCATTTTTCAAAAATGCGGCTATTATTTTTTCGTTCATTTTCTTTCATTTTCAAACCTTTACTTGAATTTAATTAATTTTAATTCTTCAGTGTATGCCTGCTATAAGAAACGATAGCAATTACAAACGGGAAATCTAACAGCTGAGTACAGGGTATGTCCCAGTCGTTCACACTCGCACTACAGCATTCTTGCTTGTTTTTCTTGCAGCTTTTTCATGTTTTTCTTTGCTTTACTTTGCGTTTATTATACGTGTTATTGTTGTTGGTGTTGTCGTGGGGATTTTATGGCTTTGCGGCAGGCGAGGCAAGGCGAGTTTTGCGTTGGCGTCGTCTGCGTTTTTGGTAGCCACAGTCGCTGCCGACGTCGCCTTCGCCGTCGACGTCAACGTATGCGTGCGAATGGCCCGTTTCAAGGATATTTTGCGCTGCGGAGTCGGAGAGTTTTTGGTTCAGGCTTGTGGCCTCTGGCATTTTATTGTGTCGTTGGCACGCATCGAGCGCAAAAAGTTAAATGTTTAATCACAAAAAAAAAACGCAGGTGGCTTGGTGGGTAGGTGAATAGATAGACAAACATTAGCACTGGCAATGGCTCCCAATTGGAAAGGATTGCACTGTCTGCAGACATAAAAAAAAAAAACAAACGCACAAAATCCTCAAGTGGTGCCTAATTGATTTTTTTAACCTCGCCTGGGACTAAGGCTAAACAATGTCAGCCAAGCAAAAACAAAAAAAGCCTATTTAACAATTATTTAATAAAATAATGTGAGCTAAAAGCTTTAATATTTTAATTTGTAATACCATATTTAATCACATAAGAATTGAGATCTCGAACCGACTAAACACACGAAATCTTTTCTTATCTATATAAACTCGTAAAAATAAAAATTTCACTGTTATATGTAAAGCAAATTGAATTGTTAATCATTACTAAAGCAAAAATTTTTCATAAATTAATGGTTTTAAAAATTAACATGTTTTTATATTTTAATGTTAACCAAACAGTAATAACAGTTTATCGGCACATTCATGTTAAGACTATGTTGATTACAGTTGTTATCGATTTCTGTTCTCGATCTGTTATCCGCTTAAGTTGCTATGAAACCTTTTAAGTCTTATAAATATTTCTGATTATTTTAATTTAAATGTAATATTCAATTTTGATTTTTCATTTAATATAATCTATTTTCTAATTAATTTTTTTTACATCAAATTAGTAAACTATCTCTTCTTTGCCTACAAAACATGGGTTTGTTCGCTACTAAAGAATTTAAATTTATTTTCATAATTTCTAACAAAGAACTTTGATTTTTATGGCTCATTCGCTTATCTGTCCAACACTAATTGCTGCCTGGCCATAAAAAAGGAAAACCTGGGCTAAAAGTTTTGCGCCGCTTTTGGGCTTTTCATTTAATCAGCTCCATTCTCTCTCTCTCTCTCTCTCTCTCTCTCTCTCTCTGTGTCTCTCAGTCTCGCTCTCTGTTTCTCTCTCTCTCTCTCTGTCTGTCTGTACCTCTCTTATCTGCTATACCGATGTCCTAGACATAGGATAAGGAGACTGGGTCTTGGATTTCACCCACTTCAGCACACATTTTCGCAGTTCGCCGCGCCGCAAGTTGAATAAACTCGGTGAGTTTTTTTTTTTTTCAAAGCCATTCACAATATTTATGTCTGAGTGTGCGTGTTTTTTTTTAGTATAGTATATATTTAGGGGGTATGTAAAATTGTCAAATACGTCTAGACATCGAAGGTCATTGTGAACGTAACGCTTTTGGGGGCATTCCATTGTGCACACATTTAACTGGCACACACAGTTTTTTGGATAACCAGTTCGACCTTCTGCTTTCGACCTTTACCAATATATCCATTCACAGGCTTAAGGAAATTCCACTGCATTTGTCATTTGTTTTGGTAATTGACATATTTGTGTCATGCGAATTCGTCTCGAAAACGTGACTAACAACGAACGACTTGTAATTAATCTTTGAACAACGAACCCAAACCTAAAACCCGATCGAATCTGATCCGTTAGCTCTCTAATTATACACTGAGCCCAATAGAAATGTGTAAACAGGGTATATTGATTTTGGGCACAAGTATGTAATAGGTAGAGCAATGAGATATGCGATTCGCATATATTGATACACATCTTTTTCCGATGGCAACAAAAGCCACAATTTTAAGGGCATAGGTTTTTACTTAATATATATATAGTATGGCATATTACTGAGCAACTGCAGATAGTTAATAAGGATCGCATAAGAAACGAACACGTTATATTTCAAAACATTTTCTTATATTGATTCTCTTACTTTTTTCAAAGCAAGCAATTTTTGGTTTTTGGATTTCCGATAGTCCAGAAAATGCTGTAACATTTGTTGGAAAGCCCAGAAAAAAACACAATCAGATAAAATGCCTAATATTTTTTTCATTTATATATTTTTTTATAGTCAAACTAAACCAGTGTTGAGTAATGAAATGTCCATCGCTGTACGTTCCGTTCAATTTAGAGCGGCCTTTGCTCTTTCCTCTTCAGTCTTCTCTCTGCCTTTATTGTTGTTTAAAATTCATTTCCTTAGCCGTCAGTCGGTGCATTGACTTTTGACTGACAACAACAACAACGACAGCAACGATAACAACAACAGCAACGATAACAACTCGTTTTCAGTTGTTTTGTTTTTTTTTTTTGCCAGACCCTATGTGTGTTTATAATTCAATTAAACTAAATTTAATTAGCATGTTAACGCATTTAACTATA